TGTATTTCATGTCTAATCAGACAGCACCTCCATAGTATCTTTCCCAGACCCCCTCTGTGCTGAGGGTCCTGAGAGACAGAAGGTCCCTCGAGATTCTTAGAGTCCTCGTCCTCATCCCTCCGCCACGTGCCCTTCTCCTCCCCACCACCCTGTGCTCTTCACCCCCGCGCCCCCCCCCACCCCATGCTCTTCCTCCTGCCCCAGCCGCTCACTCTCTCCTTATCTGTGAGCCTAGAGCTCCAGCTCCTAGTTTCCCAGGGCGTGTTTCTTCCCCCTCTCCTCCCTAGTTCAGTTCTGAGGTTGGAATTCCCGGCTGCCATGGGGGTCCCCTGGCCCTGGACGCAGTGCCAGGGTCCTCACGTGGGAGACGGGTGATGACAGCCCCTGCCAGCGCTTGGACCCAGGGCCCCGCTCAGGGTGGGCTCAGCATGGCCTGGTGACGACAGTGACCACGGTTGGCTGTGTTCCTGGTCTAGACTGTAAACTCCATGGGATCAGATGTGGTTCACATCTAGATTCTCAGATGAGGAACGCCAGCCCGGACACAATGTCTCTGTCATCTGCATCTCTGTGGTGTCTCTAGCCCCATGGGGGTCCTCACTGCATGAGGCTGGCACCCTCTCTGTGCCTCCCATGGATCAACTGACTTCTTCCTTACCAACCCCCACGAGGCGTATCCTGTATGTACATTTTACAGAGAAGGAAACTGAGGCACCGAAGGGCCAGATAACTTGCCAGAGACTGTGCAGTCATGAATTGCCTCGCTGAGCTGGGAACCCAGGCAGTCAGCTCCGGCACTCCCTACCTCTGTTAGGCGACTTGCGAACATTTACCAAAACACAGACTCATCTGCAAGGAGGCCTCAGTAACTTGAGAAGGAGCAGCTAGCGGTCTCGAGGGAGAAAAGTCCTTATAGACACATCCGTGGATTCAGGTGACTTGTGTGATTTTTAAACTAACAGTTTCATAATGATGCAATTCACATACCCTGAAACCTAACGACTCAGCTGTTTTTGAGATTGTTTCTGGTTTAGCTTTTTTTGAGGGGCCTCCACTACTCTTGGGTTGTTTGTAATCTGAGAATAATTGGGCATGAATAGTGGTTACATGTCATCCCATAGGACGTAAGTCTGTCTCCTCACCGCTTATCCCCCAAGGCTCTTGGAATGCCACATTGGGCAATGTGAGAATTTGTCAGAGCTCAGCACCCAGAACCCGCTGGCTCTCCGCCTTCTGACTTCAGCTCTGCAGGCCCAGAGCCCAAGCTGCTCCTTGGAAAAGTCTGGTAAGTGCCAGCGGAGGCCACTAGATGGCAGTACCGCCCTGGCCAGCGGTGCCCTTGGGGCCGGGGCTCAGACTTCCCTGGCCCCAGTTTCCTTAAGGTGAGATCATCAGTAACCTATAGGCTTTGCAGACTGAAGGTGATAGCTGGTTAATGTGCTACATCCGTTTTAATTTGAAAGATACAATTAATTAAATTAGGCATAAAGTGAATGTGATAGGAAATTGGAAGCTCACGGCTGAAGTCCGGTCTGCCGTCGGAACGGTGCAGCCTACAGCAAGGACCCCTTGCAGCCGCTTTGTAAAGGCAGCATCAAAATCCTCATCACTTACACGCGGAATGTGCCCTACAAAGTTTGTATTTAACAGCAAATGGCATAAATAGTCTCTCTTTCATTAAAGAATTGGACTGCACAGTCTCCTTAGAGAAGATATGATGAAGCAGTTTATGCAAAACTCGCAGTGTGGTGTCACCACGTTAGCCTAAAAGAGTGTTTGAAATAGAAGGTGACATTGTCGGAGGGCTGCCCCTCCCACCTTCACCCCCCACCCCCTGTTTTTGCCATCCCTTGATACAGTTGTGCCTAATTTTATTTTAAGAAGAAGATAGTTTGTTGCCTTTTTTTTTTACAGCTTTAAAAAATAAGTTGAATTTTGAATTTAGGTTTAAAAAATTAATAGCTACAGGTAACTGCAAAAGATATCATTGGCAGATGCAGCAAAATGTATACATATATATATATATATATATATATATATATATATATATATATTTCCACAGAAAATTGGATTCTGCCCATAAAACTTAGTAATACTAATAAAGCCAGGTCATTACCAGTTTTAAGCCAAATAAGCAAACTCAAAGAGATCTGCTGTCAGTGTGATTCTTGGTGGTTTTTTATTTTTTTGGAGAAGTGTAAATCAGCTTTAGTGCAACAAGCACACCACAGATTTGCTGAAATCATTCCTGCCCCTTCTGACGGTGGGTAGAGTTGCTCGGCCAAGTAATTTACAGTGCTGTGGCAAGGTGTGTTTATATTTAAGCTGTGCAACAGTGTAGCTAATGAGAAAGATAAGAAATTTATAGTCCTTGGTGATTGATAGGATTACTGCCTAGGCATTAATTGAAATCTGACGGATCACAGCTGTGGGTTTAAGTTAGGGGGGAAAAATTACTTCAAGTAAAGGAAAACTTTTAGATTTGCTTCTTAATGTTTTGAAGATAGTTCTCCCGCTGACAGTCTGGTTGGTGGTAGAAGTAGTTGATCCTGACCAAGGCTGGGGTGATTATGCTGAGATAATTAACGGTATCTGCTCTGTAGCCTCTTCAAGGTAGGTGGCTTATAAGTGTGGGAAAGAAAAATTAAATACTGTGGGGTTTTTAAATGGCTTTAACATTTTACATGTAGTGTAATAATAAAATTCTCTGCAGCTACTCTTTGCTAAATATTCCCTGGACTATTATTTAAGACATTTTAAAAAAAGAAACCCAAGCTAGTAATGGCAGAGGCAAGCCTGTGGTATTAGTCATTGCCTCAAAATTTCCACTGATTGTATTTAATCTGGCTATGTCTAAAGTAATCTTAGAGACCTTTTCCTACCTGTCATTTTTTAAATGTCCCATTCTTGTTGAAGCTCAGTCTTGTGAAAATGTCTAAATTTTCCCATTAAGTGCTTAAAAAGTAATAAAACTAAAGTCATTAGACTTCACTCATCAGAGCTATATCAGGAGAAATATTCTTTGGTGCAATAAATCTGACCAGGAGTTCGACATTCATATCCTTTGGATTCATTCCCTGGAAATGGACGTTTGAAGGTAAATTGCTTAAGCAGGGCAGTTTAAATTTTTAATACAATCTTATTGTAACTGTTAGCACATGATTAAAGTGCAAAAGGGCCTTATATGTTTTGTAAGATTTATAATAAATGCTCTGTGATGCCTTTTCTATGCTGAATTATGGATGTTATGACAGTTAAATGCTTATAAAGGCCAGAAAGGCACAAATGAAGAGTTGAGTCTTTATTGGAGACTAAATCACGCTTACTGAATGCAGAGTTTTTCATTGGACACCTGTTCATTCCTAGATCACAGCCTCTGAGGTGCCTGGAAGCCCTAAGAAGCCAAACAGTATCCAGTGCCTCTTTGTTCTAATGCAGTGGGCTCTGGAAGGGTCAGGTCTGAGCCAGTGGAAGCTGTTTTGAAAAATACCCAAATGGCAAATTATTGTTCCCATCACCAGTTGGCTTTTTTTTCTTATTCTTCTTCTTTTTTTTTTTTTTGGATGTAAGTAATCTTCTTATCAGATGTCTGTTTCTCTAATGGATGCCGCTCCTGTATACAGAGTTTCCACATTCCTTTTGTATGACCAAGGAGGCTGGAAGCTACATCTTGATGCATCATGGGAGCTGTGATAGAACTTTCTAGACCCAGTGACACAATATGGTTCCTTTCATTGTTCCCTGTTTGGCCATAGTTGATTGGAATTGCTGTTTTAGGGGCTGGTTGAACTGGACATCAGGACTAAGTCTTCATTTCAGAAGGAAAGCCCGCGGACCAGGAGGTGGAGCTGGGCAGGTGCCCTTCTCACGAGAGGCTGCAGACCAAATGCAGGGCACTGAGAGCTTGGCATTTGATTCAGAGCCATGGTTGGGTGGATTTTCAGTCTATTTGAAGGGTAACTTTAGCTACTATATACTATTTACACTTCTGCCCATTTTTTGGTATTTTTTTACCATCAAAGGAGAAATCCATATTGAAAACAGGTAATATCTTCACCATCTTTTCTCATGTCTGTTATTTTTTGGAGGAAAGAGATAGCTGATTTTCTATACTTTGACAGTGTCATCATTTGACGTCTTAAAGTTCACAAGCTGTAATTTGCCTTTTGCTTATGTGTCTCATCCACGGATGCAACCATTTCACTGTGGACATTCAAATACATTACTTTCAAACTAATTCTTTTCACGGGTGCTAATGATTTGGGTTACTGGTATTGATCAACTTACGACCTATGCAACTTACGACCATTCGACTTTACGACCACAATCGCTAGCCACAACTGCTCCACGTCTGGCAGCGCAAACGTTGCCCAGCTGGGCGTACGACAGTGCGGACCAGCTTCCGGCAGCACTACCATCTCCGCGTGCACCATTTCAACTGTACATATAGCCTACTCAACTTACGACCAAATCGTGTTACTACCGGTCCGTGGTCCCGACCGTGGTCGTAAGTCGAGCACTAGCTGTATTAACTGGCACCAGTTTGAGTTCTTTTTATCTCTGCACATCGGTGTTTTTCCCCCCCTTCAAAATGAATTTGCAAAAGCATCACTAGAAAAACTTATGTGTAAACATTTCTGCTGGTAATAAAGGATATGTGTAGCAGTACCAGTGGGAGAACTCCAAAGCCCAGAAGTAAAATCGACCTGCTTTGGAATAAGCGAATAGGAGTCCCAGTCAGCTATTCCCGCTTTCTCTTTAAATATCACCCTTGAATGGTACTGAGGAAACCCTATTGCATGCTTACTTTTCACAGCATTCAGTGTGAAGGTAAACCTACTGATTGTGTTTAAGTTGAGGTATACCTTTTCCAAGTAGTCACCGGCAGTGACGGAATAGGCCTGGAATGGGAGGCGGCATCTTCAGCTGTCAGTGCGATACGTCGTCGTTTCTTTGTTTTTGTTTTTAACCTTTTGGACTACTTTGTGATCTGCCGGAGAGAGAGAGAGAGAGAGTGAGTGAGTGTGAGTGTGTGTGTGTGTGTATGTGTAGGTTGCAGTGTGGGGATCTAGTCTGTGATTAAGACTTGTTTTCAAAGTGTTCGCCGTGGATTTTTTTCTTAAACACCGTTTTTTCTCAGTGAGTTTTGAACCATGATGTCACCAAAGTGTTTCTCAGGCTTTGAAAGATAGTTTCCTGGGTTAGATTATAGCAAGATTTGGGGGTTAAAAAAAGTTGAATTTCTGGCCTAAAGAGTCATCATAACCTTTTACCTAGAGCTAACACTTACATACCTCAGGTCAAATAAATTTAGATATATGCTTAGTGTTCCATAAATAGGAACTCTTTGTTCCTTTGTCATCCTTGGCAGGACCAGAGAAGTTATTGATAGTCACATGTTCCTTTCTTTGTTGTTGAGATCACCACGTTCTCATAAAGCCCTGTTAGGAAGCAGAGGACGGACTGCCGTGTTTCACTGTAGAGAGAAAAAGACCTTGTCATGTCTCTGCCGTCATGGGATTCTAGTATCTTGCTATGCCAGTGATGTGGTCTGAAAACTTGTTTTTATGGGCGTACCTGCAAAACATTATGCTCTGTGGAAAGAGGCAGGCACAGACAAGAATGGTTCCATTTATATGAAGTTCTGCAATGGGCAAACTGGTTGGTGGTGAAAGAAATCAGAAGAGTGGTTGGCAGGAAGTGAGAAAGAGGGATTGGTTGGGGTTGGAGGTGGCCCAGAGGAACTCCTTAGAGGGTTATTTTCATCATGGCTTGGGTTACACCGTGTTTGTCAACATTCGTAGACTGGTACAACTAAGATGTTTTGCATTTCACGGTATGTACATTTAATCTCAAAAAAGGAACCTAATAGTTAATCAGGTGCATGTTGAAATGTGTGGGAGTGAAGTGAACTGATGCCTACGCCGTAGTTGAATTGGATCAGAAAATGGGATGGATGGATTGATGGATGGATGGATGGGTGGGTGGATGGATGGGTGGGTGGGTGGGTGGATGGACGGACGGACAGATATGTAATAAAGCAAGTATACAGCAACATATTGGAATTATAAAATCTAGGTGGAGTGGAAAGAGATGTTCACTTTCAACTTTTTTTGGTGTGCTTAAAAATGTGTTAATAAAATTTAGGAGGAAATCAAAATAATTGTTACTGCATTAAAAATGTTGTAGATCTCCTACAGGTAAACCTAATTTAATCTGAAGTGCTGTCTCACATGTAGAAGCATACAGTCTTATGATGAGTCACAGTTTTTAAAAAGATGAATCTTGTCAGAATTAAAAGGCATATGTGATTCTTTGAAGAATTTCACTAATAAATGGAAACTGCAGTCACAGGATCCTTTGACTTCCTCACTCTTCCTAAATCACAGCAGATTCCAGATTAAAAATCAATCAGTATTCTCTGCTGAACTCTAATTAACACTTAAACAGTATTAGTCACAAATGTGAAATCTTGATCAGAGATGACCTCAGGTATTCTAAATGTAAATAAAATTAGATTTAGATCCCTTTTAATTACCTGAGGTGCTGTGAGTAATTACAATGGCAATTGATAAACTTAATTTCTTATTAAAGGCGGGGGAAAAGCCATGCAAAGTTTCTCTCTGCTAAATACTTAACTCTTCAGTGGCCATGGCCTATGCAAAAAAAAAAAATTTAGATTTACATGTTAATCATGTAGAATTATAGAGCGTTTTAAAAATTTTATGTGGGCCCTCAAATTCATCATGCATCTCCTAACTTGGTGGGTAATGTTACTATAACATCACAAAGGGCAAAACTTCCCCAGAGGAACTTCATGTCTCAAAAAAGGTAGGTTTCTGGGAGGTGATGCTGGTTAAGTAATAATAATGGACGGCTGCTGGGGAGGGTGTTACAGTGACTTAATGCACAAAGCCCTGTTGAAGACCAAGTGGAAATCTGTTTTGTCATCTCATCCTTCTTCCTAATTGCATCACAATACATTGTATGATTCAACCTGTGTGTCACTGTCACTTCTTCCAGTGCACAGGGCCACCGCTGCCGACTCATTATTAACAGAGCAGGGAGGAGAGGAATCATTTTCAGCAGTTCCAACCAAGACATCTTCTCTCCCCCACTTTAAGAAGAAAATGTCTTTTTTATGGAGATTGTTGTAAGGATAATTATTTCTGGAAATAGGAAAACAGCTTCAGTTGTGGTAGATACGTCCATTTTTCTTAAAAGTTAAAAGCTGTCCGAAGGAGAGCGGGCCTGTGGCAGATGGAAAGATTAGAGAAGTTTCTGCACTCCTTTTCTTTTTTCTGTTGGCATGCATATCTAAAAATAGGAAGCAAATTAGACCTGGTAAGTTGTTTAGCCTGTATTAATTTAACTATATTAATTTTTTAAAAGAAAACCAGTTGTTATACTTAACTGTATCTGTCTCAAGGTTCTTGGTTTCAAAATCTACTTCTGACCTTTACATCTTACGTTTCCCCTTACTTAGAACTCTTGCGTCTCCTGTTCCTCATTTTTCTTGATTTCTCATCTATTTTTCTTTACTATTCTGTGTAGTTTCTTTAGCTGGAATGATGTAGCGTGATCAGTCCGGTATGCCGTCAGGCTTTTGGTAGTAGCTTTTTCTCTTTGTATCTTTTAAAATGCTTTGCCAGTCACTTTTTCTGCATTCTGCCTTCGTAGTGTGTCATGTTCCTTCAATATCACCAGATTTATCTGCCCTTATCTTAGGTCCTTCATTCCACTGACAAATTGTGTTAGTTTACTTTGTAACCCCTAATTTGGGCCTTTTAAAAAGCATGGATGGAAAAGGAGTCCCGTAGCCTCGCCTGGTGTGGGAGAATGTGGAGGAGACTCACCGTGCAGATTAAAGAATTACTGGGTGAGCCTTCACCTTCAGGGGGTGGCAGAAACATTTCTGCTGCGGGATCATCAACTTTCTCTGCGAGACAGCTTGATGAGTTGAGAAGAAGTGACAGGTTCATCTTTCCCCTCTTTGTTTAAGCCATTTATCTTTTAGATCCTTGCCTGCCATCTAAATTGTATTGCCAATTTACTGGGATATTCACTTGCCTCGTCTTTGAAGACACTGATTTGCATCCAACTTGAGAATAAGTGAGAGCGAAAGTTAATCATCTCCTGGCCTTTTGAGCAGATTCGTACTGTGGTTAATTGTAGCATTTGAAATGTTACCTGTTTTCTAATGAGTCAGTGTTCAACTCTGCCTTAACCTGTATCACGATGAGAATGTAACAGCGTCCTAGTCTAGAAATCTCTGCTCTTCAGAAGTTCTTTAATTTATGCTTTTTGCATATGTTTCTCCATTTCAGATTAACCTAAGCTATGTTAGCTGCTTTTAAATTCTGCCTACTTGTTTTTGATGATAATGTATTCAATTAAGTGGAATAATAATGAATTATAGTTGGGCATGGAGGGAAGGAGTACCCTCAGCTCTCTAAGAGATTCTGAAATGTCATTTCATGGAGATTGTTGTACAGATAATTATTTTTGGAAATAGGGAAACAGCTTCAGTTGTGATAGGTAAGTCCATTTTTCTGGGAAGTTAAAAGTTGTCCGAAGGGGGATGTGCCTGTGACGAGATCTCGTCTGTCTTCCTGTGCCCTGTGACGAGAAGAACACAGCGCTCTTACCTCTGAGCAGGTGAGGTCCTGAAGAAGCTCATCTGTTGATGGGGTTCAGGAGACCCCTGGAGTTCCAGGCTACAGTGAGAAAGCGTGAGCTCCGTGCTTTGGTCCCCCTGGGCTGCCACCCTATTCCCCGCTTGTTCTGATGCCTGCATTCTCCTTGACCTCTTTTCCCAGCATACACTAGTTTTGTCTCCATCAAACATCTTTGTGGGGGCTGTCGCCCCCCCCATCGGGGTCTTGGCCCCAGCTCCTGCCTCTTCGATACATACTTATGCAGTGCTCAGAGTTGAGCTGGCCTGGATCTCTGGCCCCTCAGGCCTGTGATTAGTGGGCCCCAATTCTCACTTCTTGCCTTTGAGTTCTCAGACTTCTCCCCTCTCCTGCTTTAGAGTTGCGCTAACAGGGCTGCCTCCACCCTGTCTCTGCTTCCGAAGCCATGTGGGTTTCCTGTATCGTGAAAGCTTTTCTTCATTGGATGCTGATGACCGCCTGTTGACAAGCTCAGCACTGTCGCGTGTCTCGTTTATCCAGCTAAATTTGTCCTGCGTTAAGTGCCTCTTCTGTGTGTATGCAACATTCATAAGTTCTCAGTATTTCCCTCTGGCAAGTTATTCCTCCTCCTTCTGCACCATAGAAACACACCTCTCTTTACAGCACTTTCTGTATCCCAAAGGCTGTCACTTAGCGAACATGTGGGGAGAGAAAGCTGCTGACAGGGAGTGCAGGAGGTGGACTGGATATTCTGTTTGGTTGGTTGACATTTTCTTGATGATGCAGCTGGCAGATCTGTCTGATCTGATAGTCTCCCGCTGGCATATGATAGTTGCTCAATGAAAAGAGTCGGTGAGGCCGGGCGCGGTGGCTCACGCCTGTAATCCCAGCACTTTGGGAGGCCGAGGCGGGTGGATCACGAGGTCAAGAGATCGAGACCATCCTGGTCAACATGGTGAAACCCCGTCTCTACTAAAAATACAAAAAAATTAGCTGGGCATGGTGGTGCGTGCCTGTAATCCCAGCTACTCAGGAGGTTGAGGCAGGAGAATTGCCTGAACCCGGGAGGCGGAGGTTGCGGTGAGGTGCCATTGCACTCCAGCCTGGGTAACATGAGTGAAACTCCGTCTCAAAAAAAAAAAAAAAAAGAAAAAAAGAAAAGAGTCGGTGAATGGGATGAGTGAGGGATGCCGTAAATCATAGTAAATAAACTGTGACTCGTTAAAGGGAAAAGAGCATTCTGGGACCAAGAAGATGACCAAGTACATTGTGGGAACAAGAGCAAGATCAAGAACATTCTAGACTATGAAAGGTGAGGGGGGCGAGGAGAGGAGGCAGGGAAGGTGAGGTGGGAGAGGCGGAGGGAAGGTGCAGCAGGTTGGGGAGAGGAGCCGGGGGTGGGGAGGGGGCGAGGAAAGGAGGGGAGGGAAGGTGAGGCAGGGGAGGGGGAGGAGGGCAGGGAAGGTGAGGCAGGGGAGGGGGAGAGGAGTGGGAGTGTCCACCTGTGCACATCCCAGTGCCTGGAACTGACTGACTGGTGGGCGTCCTATTGGCTCATGATGCAGGACCCCAGAGGGGACTCTGGACAGTGTCATTTGGAACCCCCTCTCCTTCCCCAAATGGTAGGGGAGAAGTGCTGATGGAAGCAGAATGGAGCCCTCAGAGGTGTACGTTCAGACTGGCAGGAGGCAGACCAGCTGCAGGGCCTACCACGTGCGGGTGCTTTTCGGCATGTCTTTCAGAGGAGGGAATGTTGTGTGTGTGTGCTTCTGAGCACAGGACCCCTGGTCCTTCTGAGGCCTGGAGCCTGGTGAATGGTCAGCGGCCTGCTTCTGCCCCCTAGCCCAGGGTGACTGTGGGAATGAAACGTTCCTGACTTTTGGTAGCTTGACTTTGGGATGAAATTTTAAGGAACTATTGTGCTGTGAAGAAATGCATGGAAGAGGAAGGGATGCGTGTTTCCTGCAGTGTGATGGATTCCCTTTACCACAAATACTACTTTACACCATAACCGGATACACATATTAAAAATGTCAAATACGCCATATTTGTTTCAGCACAGGTTTTTTGTTTTGTTTTTCTTAAATTATTTTCTTTCCCCTTTTCTCTGAAAGGAAAAGGAAAACCCAGCTGGCCTGGACATGGTAGAAATTTCCCCTCATTCTAAAATTCTGAAATTAATGTCAGCAGCCTTGACTTTGCTCCGTCCTGAAGGTAACTGTTTATTACAGTCGGCATTTAAATCCCCCGATTAATAGGAGCAATTAAACAATAGCTTCATTTCCAGCAAATTAACAACCCTAATAGGTAATTGCGACATAAATGAAGATAAATTTGTTTTAATACAACGAGATAAAAAGAATACAGACAAGAACTGAATTTCAGATTAAGAATTCAGACATCATTACTTGAGGAAAAACTTAAAAGCTTCACTAGAAGAAATTAAAGCAAGCTTGGCTTTTTACCACAGTCTATCTTAGATTAGAGAGTTGTTTGCTTTAAAAAATATGTATATATAGTCACATTTTGTGCTTCGATACTCAGGAGGTAAGGCATCAAAGGATTGCTTTGATATAAGTAAGGTTAGTCATCAAAGGATTACCACCAGCAAACACGCTTTCCTAACGGCGTGCTTGGGGCGCAGCAAGTCCTAATGACTTGCTTGAGCAGTTGATTCCCGGCCACAGCCTCTCATTAGGCCTTCACTGACAAGCAACCAAAAAGCAAATGCATAGAAGAGCATTTCCTGTTTACACACCCCTAAGTTAAATGTATGACCTGTTCGTCACTTGTAGGATGTCTTACCTTCCTTGTTAGTGTTTGTTCTGATTGGAAGATTATTCTGATGGTATAGAATTTGTCCTGTTGCGATGTGGAAGTGGTTGGACCAGACTTGCTCGTGAATGCGGCATCTGTGTGAAGGATGGGTTGGAATGGGTAGATTTGGGGTGAATAGTTAAGTGCTGATTTTAAAGGTAGTGACCAAAAAAATGATGAAAGCCTCTTGTTCTAGAACAAGGATAATGAATTCCTCCTTGTGGGGTCGCCATGCTTATGGGAAGATGAAACGTATTAAAGAAACTATCGGAGTTCAGCTAAAACTGTGTCACTGAGCGTGTGTCAGCTTATCAGAACTCATCTTGGTAGCTTTGAATCATCAGACGATGTGTAAGTAGCCTAGAATTCTGTGTGCTGCCAAAGTATTAATCCAGTAGAAGGGTATAGGGTTTTGGATACGCAAGTCTCAAAACAAAATACGTGTGTGCTTTTCAGGAAACGGCTGGAACCAGGCTGCTGAGTTCAGCAGCCTCCCCTCCCCACACCCCTGCACACCCCCCCCTTTCCTGAGCATCTAGGTAGAAATGACCTGTATCTTCTAACCATCGCAGGTAGCTTTCCAAAGCATAGATGTCTGCACTTGTTGGACAGTTTGAATAACCCCCATTACCTTAAGGACAGCTCACACTTGCCACTCTTCTCTGCATATCGAGTCCTTAAAAACGCATTTTTAGTTGCCCGTTTCAGCTGCTTCTCCCCCTCCCATCTCATAACCTCTCTACTGCAGCCCCGCTGTGGATCCATCCGTTCGGGGTGTGCATGTCAGTGACGGGCAGGCCTTGGCGCTGGGAAGTTAAATACAGCATGGCCTCAAGCATTTCCCGAAGAGCTTCCAGCTCCGTGGAATTGG